ATCGATGCCTGATTCCGCACCAGAGGAATACAAGAAACTTGCCGAGCGGTGTTGTGATGCTGATCCTGATAAGCGTCTAGATGTAGAGACAATTCATAATGATATTAAGGAGCTTATTGAAGAGGTGGACGATGACAACACGTGGTATGCCGTTTATCATAATGATATAAAACCCCTATCACGTCTCGAAAAGGAGAGTAAATATTCTAGCAAACTCTTACCTACCGGAGATCTGCCTAAACCGAAAAACAGTTATGATATGTCAATTGAGTTTCAGGTGTAAAGACAACAACGGGTGTTGGTGTAAATGCAGTCAATTTACAATATTAACACCATGCATTTCTTATAATTTAGAGACTCAAACTCTTTTTTGTAATTCAACGGGCTTATTTACAGTTATACGAGTATTATTCAAAGGTTCGAATTATACGATGTGCTTCCACGTATGTCAATAAGGGGTTGAGTTAACAAGATGCCGAAATAAAATCGTTGCCGGGGTAGATAGATCATTTGACCGTGTAAGAAAATATGATACATTATTTATTAAAAAGCAAATCTTGAGACTAATGTTTTATGCAATTGGTAATGAGTTTGATGCTAATCGTTTCCTGAATAAAACATTCGAGCTTGATGCGTGCTTTCTGACATTGTTTTCATACCCAAACCAGTGCTTTTCCAAATGGCCCCATGCAGTCGGCCAATAAGGCCTTGATAGACGCGATAGCCACGACTAGAATGCAGACAAGAATCCTGGAGATGCGATAAACCAGGTCTCAATCCCATTATATCCCTCAAAGGCATATCGCCACTCTTTTCATGATATTGCTGCATAGCATGCAAGTTTAACGGCATCCAACAACGGAAATAAAATTGCCATACTTTCATATCAAATAATGTTTGTAGTAATGCCCAATTTGTGACACGATTTGGCCTGCATCAGTTATGGGCATAATAATAAATTATGAATCTCATCAGTACCTCCCCTGCCAGATTTGGTAATGTTTCGAGTTACTAAATTTGGTAGGGAAGATAGCTTAGCACTCAGGGAGATAAAGTAGCCCTCACCAGCTCATCGGCCCTAACTGGTGTTCATTAATTGGAGTGAACAATAACTTTTTGACTGCAATAACACAGCATTGTGTCAGAATGTAAAGTTATGCGATGCCTAGATCAGAGTCTGGAGAATTGATGCTCATAACAGTGTTGATGGTATTGGCAAATGGCTAGTCAAAAATTCCGTATTTGTATTTCTTCTGATCGTTGATAATATTTGCTGATTTACTGTATAACGTTGAATGAGGAATATGTTAGTTATTTCTTGATAGATTGGTGTGCTTCTCCGATCACTAATGTATCATATATTAATCTCCATCGCCCCTGACTACACAGTCAGTCTCGATAAGTCGGCCAACAGTATCCCGCCTCAAATGGCAGAAGGTCGACTTATCGAAAACCACGTGATCGAAGATATACATTTAATTTTGTAATTAAACCGTTTATCATTAATACACTAATATAATTACATCGCAAAATAATCTTGCAGACTAGCTTGTCTTAGAGAATCGACTTGTTTTCTTCTTATCTGACGATGTCAACGAAGACAGAGGGATATCAATTACCTTTATTTATATAGCAAATAGTGCATGTCTAGCGATATGTTTACTGCTTTAATCTATGATCTAATGACATGTCTAGTGCATGTCTATCGTATGATTCTAACGATATGTTTACTGCTTTAATCATATGATCTAATGACATGGCTACTGCTTTGATCGTATGACTTCAATCGTATGATCTAAATGCATGTTTAGTTCTTTGGTGTCTTTTGTTATAACATTGCCAATATGTAAGTATTGTATTGGACAATTAATCATGGTCCACCAATTAAATTGAAGAAACTTACAAATTGTCACGTGAAACCGACTTATCGAGTCTGACCGTGTATTTTGGTAATTACCAAATATGATAAAGACGATAAACTAGTGTGGGCTACCTAAAAATTACCTTCCCCGATCTATTACCAAATTTGGAGGATGAATAAAATGTGACCTAATTCTTGCAATTACATTGGTCAAATTTTTATGACAACCAATGAAATTGCAAAAAAACTACATAGTGAAACTCGATAAATCAGCTGGGCATGGTTATCCGAATCCGACTTATCAGGATTTTAATATGAAAAAAAGAAAAGAGCAGTTCCGACTTATTATTATCGACTTATCGAGTTTCACTATTACTATGGTCGGCCTCACTAGCTTTTCGTCTTTACCATTTTTGGGAATACAAAATTTTCAGTTACCAAAATAGTCAGGGGCGATGGACTTAGTGAAGGGGCGATGAACCGTCTTACCCTTCGGAAGGGGTGATACCATATATGCAAAATTAGCCGTTTTAGGACTACTTGTGTAATCAATATATGATACAATCTCGCATTAGTGACATGTAAATAGCTTTAATAGTTATAATATCAACATTAACATCAGATGCATCTTATCTGCGCCCATCCTAAGTAATGCCTTATTTGGCAATAGCTAGTGAACACCCATCATTCCAAAAATTTCCGATTTCCAAATCTGTTAGGGGCGATGAGCTAGTGAGGCCGACCTATGTACTCCGCTTTAGCCTACCCAAATTTGGCAAAAACCTGCTACTAAATATGGTAGGGGAGGAACACACTCGGAACAAGCACGTTCCCAAATTGGGTTATTTGTTTATATACCAAATTTCGAAGTTGTAAGTTACACTAATTGTTATAAAGTCACAGGACCGTTATTCACTACTACTACTACTAAAATAGTATATTTATTAATGACGTCAAGACCGAATTTCATCCAATCTGAATACAACACATTCTCACTTGTATTATTGAACTTTAATCAAAATGTCATCAAATACTCGATTGCCGGCTCCAAAAGACGAGAAGAACGAGAATGGTTCGGACTTGTTTATAGAAAAGAGGGAACGGATTGCTATGCGAGGGATGCTAAGAATTATTCTTTATAGCGCCAGTAGATGAGAACGATGAAGAAGAAATCATTTGCGTTGAGAAGTGGAATCAAAGTGATTTGAAAAATGCTTGTGATGATTATATCCAGAAAGTCAGTCTCTAGTCTGTCGCGCATCGTTGTGATGTCTCTGTTTTATTAATGTGATTATCAAACTCTGCTATTTAGTACTGATTTTGTATCTCGATCCACGTTGCATTTTATAAAGTATTTGACAAAAAAGGCGCATTACAGCCAGTACCACACTCATACTGACGTGAAGTTGGTCCTTGGGTATTTATCATGTGTCTTTGCATTGGGTGGCGGTGGATATACATACTATATTCCGTTTGAAGAGTCTAAACAGTTGACTCTTGTCTGCGTTGCTGCGTATCCTTTTTGCGTTGACGAAGTGAAGGAGAAGAAGGATGGTTTTGTTACGAGTTGATATTATATTTTGATTGATGTTTATTATTTTTTAACTTGCTGAAACGCAATCATCGGTAATGGTAGCTATGTCTTCATTAATATAGTCTTAGCGCTTCATGCGATAATTATTGAGCGCGATATTATATTTGTGGGCGTCCCATCAGAAGGAGAGAAGGTATTCTGATTGGAGTTTACTGATTCTTCTGTTGACTATGTCCGATATATCTTCCACGTTGATTTTACCTCGTCATTCCTTCTCGCCTATTTCCGCCTGCTTATTCTATACTGTTTATTTCCAATATTAGACCCACAAACTAACAATCCACACACATACAAAGAGATATTCTGATATTTATTACATAACCTTTGAATCATCGACCAACACAACTCACAGCACTCAATCCTCGTCTACTGCCACAGCACAGCTTGTTGGTAATGTCAAATATACAATCGAGAAATCATTTGGCGCTTGGTTTGATGAACATGGAGCCTTGGATATAGAGAAGTTTGGAGAGTGTATTGAACAAGGACTAAAATTTGTCAGATCAGGAGGAAAGCCTCATGAGGAATGAGCAATTTCTGTGTTGGTAAGACTATATTAGCTGACCACGATGGTCTTTGTTTAGTAATAGGGCAAAAAGAGAGGAATGTACGGAGCACGAGGCACAATTGATACATAATTAAAGATGATGTCACGATGACCTGTACCAAATGAACACTCATTATGAACGTTGAACTAATTGTGGAGATATTCAGATTTCACTGACAGGCCCTAACAGTCATGTCAAAATGTGAATCGCGTTGATTTACAAGCAAATGATATTTTTTTAGTGGGTTTATTGAATATCATGACAAAAATTTGTTCTAAACCAGTTTTAATCTGTTTCTTAAGTATGTCGTTTGCCATCGTTTTGTAGCCAAACGATTGTCCAAACGTTAAATTTTCAGTTTTAAGGAGTGTATTGTATTTAGTGAACGGGAGTAGAGGATACCCATGTCAGCGGTACCACTAGATCACTTACATATTCAATCTCAAAGTGCTGCATTGCTGCGTTAGCTTCATCTAATGCTTCGGACAACTAAAAGGCATGAACAAGTGTATATTAGCGTTAAATACTATTGACAAATTCTAAATACATGTGGGGGTAACATACCATCTTGACCTCTTCTTCAGTAATCGAATTTTCGCTCAAAATATCATAAGGGGTTTTTTGGTTTTCTGTCGTTTCGTCTATTGTTATTGAAGATAGTCTCTGATGTCTCGTAAGTGTGTTTATTTTTTCGTGCAGTTGTTGCAAAGCATCGTTATCAAGTTTAACCGAGCTTAACAGCTCCCTGGTTGATGGATTGGATAAGTTTATCAATAGTCAGCATCAACAAACATTTGAAATTGGTATCTCTCAAAGACTTACTTGTATTCATTAGCGCGATCAATGGCATCCTGTTGTAGTAATCGTTCCGGCTTAGCGGTAGATATAACAATCAAATTTCTAACGTGATATAATACTATTGTAAATCACGTGATTAAGATATTCAACCGGACAAGGAGCCCGGAGATGGGTAGATTAAAGACATTAACGGGTATCGTTATTATACTAACTCTTCTGTCTGCTGGACTATATTTTGCAATAAACGCTCTTCTCGTTCCTGTTCGACTGCCGGGTCATAATGGGATTGCCTTATTCTAGGGTTGCTGCGCAAAAACAAGGCGATAATAGTTAGCATTGAAAATACGCCAACAAACCGTCGTTCTTTCCACAATGTTTATTTTAACTAGTTCCGCTTGCCCGACTTACGGTGTCTCCGGATATGGATTGGGTTGCCCGTCTCTGAGAAGACTAGTCTGCTCGTTCGGCTGTAATATAGTTGAAAGTTTCGTACCCATACCGTCAAGTTACTTCCTTGTTTGTAACAAACCCAAGTTTTTTATATACAGGAAAACAAAACAAAAAAATGGAAACCAAGAAAGGAAAGAAAATCTAATGGGCTAAATAAAAGTAACCAGTCTCTCCACGCTTCTTTATACTAATATCGAGCATTAAAGAGAGAATTGTTAACCTTTGACTCATCATCATCCGGTTTACTTCCGCAACATCCCATATTTATATTATCAGGTGGGAAAACCCTACTAAAATGAGTGTGATTTTACGTGGGGTGCGGTTGGCTAATAAATCAAAGGTGAAACAAGGCAAATCTCTGATAATTTGAAAAGTGCGATGGTGAGGGGAGAGCTCAGGGTATATTTACGTTTTCATGAAATCACATGAATTACGAAAGACATGATTAGCATTTAATATTAGCATTAAAACATATTTAGATCGACCGTGATTTACGTAGATTGTGGCAATAAAGAACGCAAGGGTCGCATGATGTGCGCAGATGTACAAACATCTGATGTGCAGTGCATCATTCGCTTGTCTTTTTTTTTATTATTTTTTTTACGAAACCATTAATATTATCTGTTTTGCTATAACAATAGCTCTAGCCACACTCTTTGCCATTAATACTTTACGCACTGATTCACCATTGGGGTAGTAGTAGTAGTGGTAGTAGGGGATAATGCAAACGCCAAAAGGACCTTCAGAGAGCGAAAAACCAGGGGATTATTTCGGTAATTGTAGAGAAAAGGTGTTATACGGACACACACAGACTGTCCGAACAGTAGCCTGGAGCAGCGATGGACGCTTCTTAGCTAGTGGTTCTGTTGATACAACAGTTAGGATCTGGTGGACCGCCGAAGAAGATATAATAGAAAGTTGGAAATTGGAAGGTCATAGGGATAGTGTTGATCAGCTTTGTTGGAATCCCAAGAATCCTAGTGTTTTAGCAACAGCCTCTGAAGATCGAACAGTGCGTTTTTGGGATGTTAGGGCAGATCTTTCCAGTGTGTGTAGGCATGCTGTTGAAACACAAGGTCAGAATATAAATATATCTTGGAGCAAAGATGGTAATACTGTTGCAATAGGGGATAAAGATAACATTATTTCTTTTATCGACACACGTACTTACAAGATAGTAAACACTTATTATGAAAAGAAAGACGATAAGAAGATAGAATTCAATGAAATGACATGGGATCATAATTGTAATTTGTTTTATTTGACAACTGGCACTGGTGCCATTAGAGTCTTGCGCTGGCCATCACTGAACGTGGTACATACTTTAAGAGGTCATACTGCAAGCTGTTATTGTCTTGAATACGATCCCAAGCTAAGATATCTAGCAACTGGTGCGGCAGACGCTCTTGTTGGATTATGGGACCTGTCTTATTGGTACATGATTAGAGCATTCCCAGGATACGAAGTCGTAGGCAAAGTACGTTCGTCCATCACCAAAACACCTGTACGGACATTGAGCTTTACTCATGATGGCAAATATATTGCCTCGGCATCAGAAGATCAACAGATTGTGCTTTCAGAAGTAGAAACTGGAGATACAATATATCGATTGCCTTGTGGTGCAGCTACGAATTCAGTATCATGGCATCCAAATGGTTATCTGCTTGCATATGCTGGAGACGAGTTTTCGAGTGACATTGACGGGAGAAAATATAGAGGATTGAAAGTTTACGGATACTATGATTAGGGATCACAACTCTTCGTGGTCTAACCATGTGCATTGCTGTATTTTCTGACGAGTTACAATACATAACGGCAGATTCTATTCCAGTATGTTGTTTATAATACATGGCTTTTATGAAATTTCTTGAGGATATTTGCAGCATATATTTTGACGTGCTCATTTACCTCTTCTCTCTTTAACACTTGTTCTAATGCAACCATCATCTTGTCATTTAATGATGGAAAATAGTAAATAATTTCTATGGTTGTTCGTTGGATGTCCTGCGGCAAATACATGAATGGACCAAACACGGGACCTATGAATTTAATAATAACATGTGCAGATGTATTTATCGTTAGAGGATGGATGGACACGGAATTAGATGAATAGATATAGACAAGTAAGTACTGTAAATAAAAAAATATCGAACACTTTGATTTCCGTTGTACACACCTTTGTTTGGCAGCATGACGAAAAGAAATGGAACTAAAGCAGTTTGTAACTGATTCAAAACCTATTAATTCATAACATAATTTAGTATTATTACGTCATAATTACGCAGTATAATATTAGAGCATTACTTAATACCTCATCATCGACTATTCCTTTTACTCTTCCTTTTGTAATGTCCAGAGTGATTGCAAGTATCTCCTAATAAAAAAAAGAAAATCATCAGTATTCATTTATCAAATCCGAAACTCGTGTGCCGTTTAATAATACCTCGGTGGCCTCAAGCGAGCCCGTTTTCAATTCCCACAATAATTTCGGTAGACTTAGTAACCATGATTGAGTAATGGACATTAACTTTAAGCTTCTCGATATACGGAATCGACCAGTATAGTTTATGCTATTTTGTAGCTGCAATGAATCTTGCCTTTAGCGATAAGTTGTAAATCTTTCCAAATCATATATAACAGCAACAACGTACCATTAAAGAGCGGGAAACAAACCCCGCGATTATTCTCTTTGTGGAGGATTGCGCATGGCTTTGCTTGCCATATTCGATCAGAGTCTGATTGATAAATATAATAACATGTCTGCATGAGCGCAGGATGCCGGTAGAGCGTTTGCGTAATAATGGTTCATATACATACTTGATATAAAAGTATCTGATCGTTGTCATCTATGCAATTGAGCAGTCCCCATATCGATGGGAGAAGTGATGTAAGATGTTCAGGTTTGAAATCTGTCGGTGTTAGCTTCATCTTATCCCTAATTTCATGTTCTAATAGAATACTTTCCTTGCAACAGAGTTTATACGAATGTCAGTAAGCATACTATTATGATTAATTACATGAACATTTAATTATAGCCTAATGTAATCTTACCGTCCCGCCGCCCAATGTGACTATAATGTAGTCGAATACTCTTCCAGCCCATGAAAGTCGTCCCCCTACTGCATCGGAAGTAGTTTTTGGCATCATTGATGATGAATCCTCGTGATCATTTTCCGATGACAATATCGATGAATCCAGCAGGTATATTACAACAAGATTACAACATATTACGTTCATTTCTCGTAAGATTGATTCGGTCTATCAGGATTTGGTGAAAACGTTAGAAAACAATCATAATAATTACTTGAACAAAACATTCAAAAAGCAAAGACCTTTGCATCTCGCATTCCAAAAGAGCCTGCTCCGTATGGAAAATGTATGGTGATATGTTTCAGCAGTTGTTGCGTTTGAGGATCAGTCCATAGCTTGCGAGCATCACTCTACAGTGATAATCGCCATTTAGAGCTTTACTATGAATACATACGTATCCATTATTACAATAGTGTCTAACCTTTTCGCGTGATTCGATAAAAAATGCCCTCCACAAGACATCCAAGATTCTCAGTATATGGTTTAACAAAAGTAAACCGGGGGATTGATATATAGTCGATGTTATTGATCCAAACACAATCGGAGCAGTGTCCAGCCAGGTCGAAAGTAACAATTGATGCAACGTTGTTATTATAGTCTATTCGGAGAGTAAAGGAGGGTATGAATTTAGTTAAACGCGACTACAAAACAAACAACTTGTACGCATTTACAGTAGCTAATTATTGATGGTTCACCTGTGTTATCGCTATTCGTCCTTCAACAGTAGCAGTATCATATTCGATTTCCATAGCTCCGGCCTGCTTCGTATGAACTGACCTGTCACTTTTTAGGGTAACGGTTGACATTGACATTTTATCGTCTTTACTGTCTTGTGATGATGATATCGAATGACTGAATAGACCGAGAGTAGGCTGAATCGGCGATGATGATAGCTGTGGCATTAAAATTAGTGTCAATGGGTGCAGTGGCATCGTGTTAACCTAGTGAGAATTTTAAATACACTTATTAGCGATATGTTTCAATTATTAGACATAAGATACACGCAATAATCCCAACCTTCCCATGACATGCCACCCAATCCACAACATTACGTTTCTGTCTACGAGTATCCTGATTCATAAATGAATTGCGTGCTTGCTGAGAACGAAGAAAACTAATGAAGATCAGCTTTCTTTAAAGACAACAGAGTTAATCAGATGGCTTCTGCGGTGTGAAACGTTATGAATATAGACAATTTTTACTTTACATACAGAGTATCTTCCCCTTTTAACATTCCAGCCTTCAGAAAGTTTTCAAAACTAGCCAAGATTTTAATGCGCGTCTAATAAAATAATGTTACACCCATTACTTTTTTTTCCAGTAGATAATAAGTATACGGGTTAATGCCTTTAACATGTTACCTCTTGCGATAGTATTTGACTTCGAGGGTTAAGAAACGTGAGAGAGGATGTTCCGACGCCTTTGTTTAATCAAGAACTACGTTGTGTAAGAATTATCTACCTATACGACTTTCAGATGAATCAGTTCCTCACCTGACATTCCCGTTTGACCTAAGCTCATATCAGAGCCAAGCATGCTAACATAATTTGGAAGTATCTGGAAAGTGATCCGCCCTTGTTAATTCTTGCCATTGAATTCGGTTTATTGTGCGTGGTTCTTACTAAATTGTTGTAAACGAGAACGACTATAGTCTCACCTTTTTCCAGAACCCATTAGTAACTACATCAGGAGCGAGGTTTAGCCAAATATCCAAATATTTAATCGCATCTGTTCTTATGTCTTCGTGAATGTGGGTCATTGCTGAACAGGTATAAATAATCAAAAGCGGGAGAAATGGGCGAAAATCACTCTAAAAAGTGCATAGGCTTTAGCGTTATGTAAACACATTTAATTTAACCAAGGAAACTTAAAATGTACCTCGCTCAGCATTGGTATGAACTCATTCATAAACGATAACAAAATTCTTCTTAACGTCGCATCCTTTATAAAAACCGTTAATATTTTGATTACGATAAATTTAACGATGTACAATTCATACCTCATCTACCAAGAGCTTAACTATTGCGTTAATAACCAAAGATAAAGATCCTGGCAAGATTTGGGGGTATCGATTGAACAAATCTTTCAGGCCGAGTAAAGCATCTGCAGTGGAAATCAAACTCAAATTAATACTGTCGTCATAACAATTATGAAGAGCTATATAAAAGTTTGAATACCCTTCCTAACATTCGCACTGTAGTGTCTCAATTGCGTAACAAGATCATTAAGAGTCAAATTTCTTGAATTGGTCAATTCATGTGATTTATCTTCATTTATGCTTTGATTGGGAAGTATGATGGCTAAAATGACAATGCGGTAAGCAAAAAAGAAAAGCCAAAAGTCAAATGCAACGTGTATCGATTCTGAATAAAAAAGAAGCAATATACCTTTCGATTTGAATGATATATTAGTGTGGTTTGCGGGCAATGTCTTTTTTTTACCAACTTTTAGTTTGGGTTTCTGAATCATAAAATTTGTAAGAACATGCAATCTAGACTGACTCAAGTCCTGATCAATCAACATTTAATAATACTTTAAAATCCAACTGTTGTTGCCGCTTTTTCCTCTTGCTTTTCTTGGGCATTGTGCAATCACGAACAAAAATTTCAAGAATTCTCGGTGTGAAAAGCTGTTAAATAATGGATATGGATATGATCTGCAATTATATTAATATAGTAATAGAGAACACAAATTAAACTGCCTTGCCAAAAACTTTGGACAGTGAATGGAGCATCTGCAAGAAGAAAGGCCTTTGAATTATCAAAAGATGGGATATGGCGATGTTACAGAGGATACGAATGAATATGTAACGGCGCGGTGGGGACGTACTGGAGAAAGTCCCAACAGCATTATACCGACGTGACTCGTACTTCCACGAATACTTGTAGAAAATCCGAACAGCAGAATCAAGACCAACGAAGAGCCATATGAAACATACCCCAAATTTACCAGAAACACATATCTTATTCCCCTATTGACTGAAGATAAAGTTAACTCGCTTATTGAGCGACCATCGCTGACGAATGCCGAGGAAGCGCGGAAGGGGTAGGGCTCCCAATCCAGCAGGATATGCACATGGCATTAACAGAAGAACTCAAAAATCGATGACATCTGGGGGCTACAGGTATTTATTTTCGGATAGTCGAAATTATTTTTGTAAATAAACAAAGCAATGCGCTTTTTATCGTAAACGCATCTTCATTTTCAATTAGTTACCATTTCGATGAACGCGCTTTAAAGATATAAATTCTAAAACGACCCGTTGTTTGCTCTCCTGCCCTTTTGCAATCATGGTCAACTCTAGACTCTTTCAACCGAAAAATACGAAGCAAGCTATCAAGTTCTTCCTGAATAGTATTACTTAACTTGCGCATTTATTAAACTTTAGACACAAATGCATGATAACACAGAAAAGCGATACATGGAAAAGCTTGTGTGAATAAATGAGTATGGAATAAATTGTAAATCGTCAAATAATTGTAGTGCCAATTCTTTATTTTGCATCTTTTGACAACTGTAATGGATCCATCGAACTAGTACAATAAGATATATGTAATGGTTAGGAATTATAACATTCGCTTAATATTAAAATTTAATAGAATAAAAATACTCCAAGTTTGTGTGACGTACTACATCCTTGTCAGAATGTTACCTTTCCGACCAATTCTTTCCGAAGAAGAATCACGAGAGTTAGAAACAGGTACGCAATTAATCTGATACATTCCTCTAAATGAGACATTGAAATGTTAACAACTCTATTATATAAACAGTTGACGTCTATGTATCAGACGTAGAACCACAAGAGGCTGGAAAAGTTTTAAAGTGATATCAGATTCTTATGCATTTTATGAGCCATCCGACAATTGATCTCAGAATTATGTAATTTGATAATGCGGTTAGATTCATCCAGAAGTATTGTCCACCGCATAAAGACCTCGAACATGCGAAAAAGACAAGGAGAATTAACCATGAAAACGGTGACTTGCTAACTTCGTTGCATTATTTACCTAAATCTATAAGTCTCTTATTAATCATTTTTCCGTATTACCGCAGGCTACACTTTGACAGTACTTCTCTGTCAAACAAACTCGATTTCCGAATCAGATCTGATAAAGTTGGTCGCGGAAAACGAGTTGGACCACGTCATATTTCCCCGCGTTGAATCTGTCTCAAAGCACAGGGCTTATACGAGAGAACAGTTCGATGCATGGCGAGTGCTCTGGCCGCTTAATTACCGAGAAGATCCCAGGCGGTTAGTTATGTCAGCGGTATCTGTAACCTGATGATTTTTTCGGAAATTCGAAAGGGCCAAGGATATCTCTAAGCAATCTCATTTGTTGAGTAATTTTGGCGAAGTGGTTTTGCTTCAGGATAAGATTCGTTTAGGGAACTTTGGTTTTCCCGAATACATGAATTTCTTATGCAATTACAACCCCATTAATGTGCAGGGAAATTAACTTTCCAACAGAACCTCTCCGTCTTCACATGAATCGAGCAATTGAACTCTCAGAAAAAGCAAAATCATTGGGCGAGGTGCTCATTTTTTTATCACCATACTTTTAATATGTTGCCCCATTCATTGTTATCAGTTAATTCTAATCAATCGTACTTTGTAGGTACCAATCGCTTGCGTAATAGTCGATCCAACAAAGTCAGAGATTCTTGCTGAATCATGTGATACCCGCAATACGTCAAACCATCCGTTACGACATGCGGTGTTGAATTGTATCGCTGCAATTGGATCTCGGGAGAAAGCTGACAAGGCTGCACTTACCACAATATCAGCGAAACGAAAATCCGATGATATTTGCGAGTCGGATGAGATAGCAGAAAATATTGGATCCTATTTGTGTAAGGGGTATGATTTGTTCGTTACCCATGAACCGTGTGTTATGTAAGTTGAGAAAGCAAGAGGAGGGTGGGAGTCCGAGGACATATCCGATCGATTAACTGAATACGTAAAATATTATATTTGAATTATAAAAATTATAAAGGTGTTCGATGTCTCTTGTACATTCACGGATAGGACGCGTTTTCTATGGACGTACTAGTGTTTCAGGTGGATTGGGTACTTGTTATAAGATACATACACATGCAGCGCTCAATCATCATTTCAGAACCTTTGGTGGATTTCTTGAAGAGCTTATCGAGTCCGTGGACATTGATTGTTAGCATGTCAAACCAGTGTCTTAAGAATTAAGTACGTTACAGCCGAGTTCGGCTAATATTACTCTCAAGGAAACCGTGTAGATTACATGTCTCATGGCTTTTAATATTATTGTGCCTTGTAAATGTGTTATTATTATTATTACTGTATTATCTACCAGATTTGATAACGTTACGAGTTACTAAATTTGGTAAGGGAGATGGCTTAGCACTAAGAAGCGCTCTCTCACCAGTTCATCGAACCAATCCATTTTGGAAATCAGTTTATGGTAGGAGGAAAGTAAGTTAAGCGTTACACACGGATCTATATTGTTAAAGTTGGGAATGCTCTCTCCGTGATTGCAAACGATGTCATTAGTTCCAGGAGTTAATAATCCAGCAATTGACAACTTGGTCTTGGAAAGTAAATATTTAAGATGGATTCCTTACGAGGAAATTACCCGCGTAAAGCCAGCTCAAATTTCCATTACGCTCGGAGTTATGACGATAAGATAATGTTGTTATGCCTTGGAAACAACGGACAATGTACACAAACACTTGTTAGTGAATTTGCTAAAATATACTCACTTCCGACACACAAGCACAACAACTACGTTAATCAGTTCAGAAGATATAAGGAATGGCTTCGCTCTCGCAACAAACTCATAAAGGGTTTTACCAAATCTCAATTACAAACAAACTCACCAAATCATGCCTATTTGGAATGGATTCCATTCGATTGTATTGATTATATTGAGGACTTTGGCATATACTCAAATATTCTACCTACTGGTCAATGTGTTAAATTGATTTCGCTTGAAATAACGGATGAGACAGATGATTTATATTATGCCAAAGTAAACTATTTACTTATGCGTCATGTTTATTGAATAGTTTAAATAATTGTTGACATATTATTCAACTAGTTATGTGATGAGCATCCAGATATGCTTACCGGTTACCATCGGATTCACATATTAATATGATGCAAGTAAACAAAAGTATTGTCTAATAAAAGAATGGGATGAGAGGAGATTATATCTGGCGTGTACAAAGCGATTAAACCCCAAGATAAATGCGTTCTGTTATGAATGTAAAGCACCAAGACCTGTTGATTGGACTACGGGCAACAAATTTTTGGATTCATTCATTATGGAGTCGTGGAGTAATACAAGTAACAAAGATGATGTGTATGTACAATGGATTGAATACTCTCTATTTCATAAACTTTAAACAATGTACTCTGTATTTTATTCAAATGATAACCCGGCAAGGGCAGCTAACAGTAACATGCACGATTTTATTTCTAACTCAGCTCGTATTGACATACATGGATATGGAGGGATATAGTATTTGATTCATTTGGAAGAGTAAACCCTTGAATAAAACGCGTATAAATAACCCGTGAATTACAAGTTTATTCAAAGGATATTTGAGTCACTAAATCATACGCAGTAGACGATGTTAATATTGTAGATTGACTTCATTAATAACCAATCGTTGTCTTCATACCTGCAGCTGAATCCAAATCATAGCTATTTCTTGGTTTAGGCAGATCTCCAGTAGGTAAGAGCGTACTAGAATATTTACTCTCCTTCTCAAGAAGTGATAAGGGTTTTACATCATTATGATAAACGGCATACCACATCTCATAATTTTCCCCCTTTGCAATAAGAATAAGCTTGTCAATATCACTATAAAGTGTCTCCGCATCTGGACGCTTATCAGGATCAGCATCACAACACCGCTCAGCAAGTTTCTTGTATTCCTCTGGTGCGGAATCAGG